CCTTGTTAATTTGTTCAGGCTCCTTCTGAAGCAGAAGCAGTGTGTGGCACTTTGCAAAGAGGTTGATATGAATTAGTATTGTTTGAGATGAAAGTGAAATTAATGTAATTTTGTGTAACTTTGGATGATAAACTCATGGAATGAAGATGTTTGCAATTTGTATTTGTTTGTTTATTGGTGTATTTTAAAACTTTTAATAGTTTTTCATACTTTCATTGTTTGATTTTTCGATGGATTGATTCGGTCGCTAAAAGTAATAACTTATGAAATTCAAGCCATTAACGACGAAAAATTCCGTCTCTAAAGCCACATTTTTTGTATTATTGATATTTTATAGCCAAAAATAATTAATACAACGACAAATCAAGCAGTTGTTGAAACAAAATTAATCGAGTTTTCAATATTAATTTTTAATGACTATTTTTCCGATGTTGAAATGAAAGGCAACTAAAATCTGGTTGTTTTTATTATATTTTAACGACAAAAATAGTTATTACAACAATCAAACAAGTAGTTGTTGAAAAGATAATTAGTTGTTAATACAAATCTTTTACGATCAATTATTCAGTTGTTAAAATAATACGTTTAACGACCAAATGTATATTAGTCATTAAATACATTTGCCGACACCCCTTCGCCAACTAACGAATAACCAACTGAATTTGGTCGTTGAATATCATCAACAACTAATAATGTATTTTCTACGACCATTTATATTGTTTGTTGAAAGTGATATTTCCTGTAGTGCGTTCATCTCGTTCTTCTTGGCATGTCATCTAGAATTTAAAGATTCATATCTCAACCACTTATAAAGACAAGAACAGCTCCCATTTGCCAAATCCAAATTTTCACCTGCCAAGGAAAGTCTACCAGAAGCAATCACTTGATCGAGAAAACCACTAGGTTTATTTTTAATGAACTTGGAAAAGGTAAAGGAGAAAAGGGTATGAGTTGGCTAATTGAATTGCAATAAACGGGTGATTGATGAGGATGCCACCGTACTGAAGAGGTATTAGGCAAAGAGCTAAGAAAGATAAGGAAAAGGAAAGGAAGAAGAAAGAAAACCAGAAGGAAAAAATGAAAAGAAAAAAGAATAAACAAAAGGAGAATATAAAATTTGGAGGTAAAAATAAGAAAAAAAATAAAGAAGGAAAAGGAAAAGAAAAATCGATGATAAAATGTTCCAAAAGAGAAGAAAAATCTCCTTTTTATAATCTTGATAACTTTTTACGGCATGCAAGAATGTATGCCGTAAATTGTAGCTTTTTTATGGCATTCAATATGCACGCAATACATAGTTCTTTTTTAAAAAAATAAAAAAAAACATAAAAAAAATAAACCACTTATAGCATGCTTGAGAATTACGCTATAAGAAAAGACCATTTATGACATGTCCTAAATGTATGCAGTAAATATTTTTAGTAATTGGACTACTACAGCACATATTTAAGGTACACATTAAAATAGACTTTTTACAGCATGCTTGAAATGCAAGCTGTAAAGTAGTGAATGAATTGTCACAAGCTATGGATACAATGGAGATAATACAATGAATCTAGTTACAAACCTTTGGATTAAAGTAGTTAGAGAGATGAGATGGTTAGCCACCTTATTCCAACGAGGAATAAAATGACAAATGCCACAATCTTAGTTTGATATGTGTTAATCTGTGTTTGGTTTAGATTAAAGAGTTGATAAAAAAATTTAAGCCGAAGTCACATTTTATGGGACATACAACTTTTTAACTATGCATTTTATCAAAATTTACTAAAATTCTTTTTTTAGCAAAACTAGATAGGGGTTTAATATATTTCGATATTATAAAGAAAATGTTTATTTGATGGTTAATTATTGTCTCAGAGTGATATTTATTTTGTACAATAATGGGATGAAATAAGTGAGCTAAACGAGATTAGAAAGTACTTGTTAAACAATCGTTTGTGTGGAAAAGAGGTTCTTCGTCTTTTCCTTCGGTACACTAAACCTGACCTTCATTCTCACAGTTTGCTGGTAGAAGCGTTCCTGTGCCTGAGGGAAGGGAAGTCAAGTAGCTCATTGAAGGAAGTAGAACTTGACTATATTATACTGGGTAGAATTTTTCTTTTGTAAATTGAACTGTCACTCGACGTTTGTAAAGGAGAAATGGGCCACTTTTCAACTTATAACTGCCACCTACATATAACTCTAAGTTGTCTAGACGTGAAAAATTTTATGAGACATTAGTGGGCACAATACCCTTATCATCTAACAAGTTTCTAATAAATTAGTCTACTTAATAGGTAGCTCCTTTTCTTTACGTATTGAATATACTTCTATTAGATCAAACTCCGATCTCACCTAACCATATTAAGTCGAGCAAAGTTAAAGCTTTGATGCTCATGGAGACCTAATTTACTCCCTTGATTTGAGCTCCAACCTTCTTAATATTGGCTTGGCATGGTTTTGGTTTACCCTTTTGTAATCTATTTACGAAATTCTGCTTCTCCCCTCTATTTTTCACAACAAAAATCCGTTCTTCTTCTCCCCTCTATTTTTTCACAACAAAAATCTACTTTCTGTTAAAGTAAATCATTGTAAGCTACGGATACAATCAGTTGCAAACTCTAGGATTGAAGTAGCAAAAGAGACGAGTTGGTTAGCCTCATTATTCCCCCATGCGAGGATAAAATGACAAGTACCACAACCCTTCCTTTTGACAAATGTTAATCCCTATAAAAATCTAAGTTAAAATTTTAAACACACATTTAATGTGGCACACTGCTTTTACAACCTTTTTAATCACACTTTTTATCATCTTTTATCAAAATCTGTTAACAGGCTTTTTTTTTTTTTTTTTTACCAAAAACCATACAGGGGTTTAATATATTTCAATATGGAAGCAAGTGTTTATTTTTATGGTTAATTATAGTCTGAAAGTGATATTTATTAAGTACAATTATGGGATGAAATATGTGAGCTAAACTAGAGGAGAAAGTATGTGTTAAGCAATCGTTGGTGATGAGATGACTATGTTTTAGTGGATAGAGTTCTTCTTTTGTAATTGAACAATCACTTGACATTTGAAAAAGAGAAATGAGCCACTTTTCAAGAGATATCTCGACGTGCAAATTTTCATGAAAATTTAATGGGTTTCATACTCTTACCAGCTAACACGTTTCTAGTAAGTAAATGTTTACTTAAAGCTATCTCCTTTTCTTTACTATTGAACACACTTTCGTTATGTCTAACTCAGATATCAGTCAACCATATTAAGTCGAGCAAAGTCAAGACTTTGAAGCTCATGGAGACCTTTACTCCTTGATTAGAGCTCTAACCTTCTTAATATCGGCTTGGCATTGTTTTGGGTTATCAACTTAAATGAGCATTGAGATTTAGCTGTAGCATTACTCATTAATAACCAAAAGCCAACCTAAACTTAAACTATGATTTTTATTAATTCCGTAGTACGTAAAAACATATATGTTGTGAATGATCTACGAATCTATGCAATGTTATTGTCAAGAGTACAATATTTGGTTGTCACAAAGTAAATATCTCATGATGCTGCTGCGTGATTTAAAATTTAATTCTTGATTCGATACGAAAATTTAATGCCTATCAAAATGTTTACAGTTAAACGTGGAAGCATCTCATCACGTGTTTAACTAGAAGTTAATGAACTTTTTCTGGAGTTGGTGATTATAGTGCGAGACGTGGTTTTATCCAAGGCAACAGCTGCTCCAAAACAATGACTAAGAGATATATAATCTACCAATAAAAATCCACAAACTAGCTGTAACAATCTCTTATAGTTCTTAACCAAGTCAATATACAATTACTGATGCAGGAGGATCCGAGGCGAGTGATGCTGATTTGTCAGATAGTACGATTATGGCTTTGAGATACCATGAGATGGCGGATCGGTGCAAAGATGGAAAGTGAATCGCAATTATTTCCTTGATTGGGGGAATTTGACACATCTTTGGTAATTTGGCCATAACTTTGGTTACAGTAATCGGAATCGCTACTATGACCCCAATCTGGAAAGCTCTCTTCGGCGCGCACGTCCTGGCCATCCAACTATGCTCGGTGGACGTCAATTTCGAGCTCAAAATCTACTGTTTTCCTTTTCAAAATTCAATTTTAAATTATTTTTTTGCCATTTATGGTAATATTTCGTTTCCCTTTTTTCATATGTTAGAAAACTCGAATTGATGCAAATTTTGGCAACATACTTCTTTTACTTAATATTTTATTTTGGTATGATTTCGAAATTTTGCCATTTTTGGTAATTTTCCCATAATTTCGTATTTAGTAGCTATTTACCCCGGCTTGTGGGTTAATTTTGGTCATTCTGTATTATTAATAATATTGAGTTGATTTCAGAATATTTTCTCTGATTTTTTGGGCATTTTCTGTCGTTCATTTCTTGCGAATAATCTGCTACAACAAGCTAATAGGATAATCACTATCCTATCCGGCTTCAATTGGTATCAGAGCGTTAGCATCTTCTTGGGAGATAAATTCCATCAGTTATAATAGTTGGTGGACGTGGTCGTGGTCGTCGAGGGTAGGTTCCGATTGAGGAAGTCCCACACCGTGATCGTAATATTCAGGATGTGACGATTGAAAATTTGCAGAGATAAGTTACGGAGTTAACCCAACGTTTGGCGGAACAGGAGTTCGGTAATCATGATTTGGAGGGTCACGATTCCGATACCAGTTTCGAAACCTCGAATCACCATCGTGCTTGAGTTTGGGAGTATCGTGGACGGGAGGATCGTCATGTGGATCTCGGTTTCAGAGTGGATCTGCCCGAGTTTTCTGGGACGTTGCAGGCTGAAGGATTTATTGATTGGCTGAATGAAGTGGAGCGAATTTTTTATTATAAAGAGGTTCCAGATCATGTCAAAGTGAAACTGGCTGCCATCAAACTCAAAGGTAGAGCATCTGCATGGTGGGAGCAGTTGAAGCGTTCACGGGAACGACAGGGAAAATCTAAAATTATTGACTAGGAGAAGATGAAGAAGAAGATGAAAGGGCACTTCCTTCCTTTCGGCTATACTCAAGCCTTGTTTCAGAGGCTCCATTCACTAAGGCAAGGCACAAGATCAGTTAATGATTATATTGAGAAATTCTATCAACTGGTGGCTCGGAATGATTTATCTGAGACGGAGGAACAGATGGTAGCACGATATTTGGGGGGATTAAGGCAGCCCCTGCAGGATGTTCTCAGCCTTCATTCATTGTGGACGGTTTCTGAAGCATATCAGCGGGAACTTGCAGTAGAGAAACAGCAGAGTAAGATGCCAGTGGTCAGAGGTGAAGGAAGTCTGCCAGTTCGCCCTCAAGAATCTCCTCCTGCTTATCAACTACAGCGGGACAATTCCAGCTCAAGTATTAAGTGCTTTAGGTGTGGTGAATAGGGGCATAGGGCGACTGATTGCAGGAAGCCTGCTGGTCAGAAGAATAAAAATCTTCTGATTGAGGAGGGTATGATAGAGGAGTTCGAGGAAGTTGGTGAGCCCGTATATGATGATGGTGAAGATGAGGACGTGCTATATGGAGATGGTCAGGAGATCCTGGTCGTTCGAAAGATCCTGCTGACTCCCAAGGGCGATTCAGGGGACGATTGGTTGAGGACCAACGTTTTCCACACAACCTGCACAATTGCTGATAAAGTCTGCAAACTGATAATTGATAGTGGCAGTTGTGAGAATATAGTGTCTGAGGAGGCTATCGAGAAACTGCAACTGAAGATGGATCGTCATCCCAAACCATACAAGTTATCTTGGCAGAATAAAGGTAGTGAGGTAACGGTAGAAAAATGGTGCTTAGTGTCTTTTTCGATTGGAAAAAAATATTTTGATAATGCTTGGTGTGATGTGTTATCAATGGACGCGTGTCATGTTTTGTTGGGACGACCTTGGCAGTATGATCGCAGTGTTATCCATGATGGGCGGTAGAATACTTATTCTCTTAGCATCAAAGGGAAGAGAATTGTTTTGGCGCCTCGCAGGGAAGAAAACATCCCTACCCTGGTAGTTAATAACACTAATCTACTTTCTATGTCCAGGTTCTTGGTTGAGATTGGGCGTGAAAAAATAGTTTATGCTTTAATGCCTTGTGAAAATAGTGCAGCGAATGTGGATTCGAAATTACCAGCAGAAGTACATCAACTACTGATGGAGTTTTTTGACTTGATGCCAAAGGATCTTCCTCCAGGATTACCACCTATGAGGGATATTCAACATCAGATCGACCTTATTTCGGGGTCGAGTCTACCAAACCGACCAACATATCACCTCAGTCCCAAGGAAACTGAAGAGTTGCAGCGACAAGTGGTAGAATTATTAGAAAGGGGCTACATTCGTGAGAGTATGAGTCCTTGTGCAGTTCCTGCTCTACTAGTGCCGAAGACAGATGGATCGTGGCGTATGTGTACTGACAGCAGGGCAATTAACGGGATTACAGTGAAGTACAGGTTTCCAATTCCCCGCCTGGATGACATGTTGGATCAATTGTCCGGTTCTAAGGTCTTCTCAAAAATTGACCTTAAAAGTGGATACCACCAGATCGGAATCAGGTCTGGAGATGAGTGGAAGACTGTGTTCAAGACACAGCATGGGTTGTACGAGTGGATGGTCATGCCCTTTGGACTATCCAACGCACCCAGCACTTTCATAAGGTTTATGCATAAGGTTTTACGGCCTTTCATGGGGAAGTTCGTGGTAGTCTATTTTGACGACATACTTATTTATAGTCCGACATGGGAGTCACATTTTAATCATCTTCGTGTTGTCTTTGATGTAATGAGGATGGAGCACTTATTTATCAATCAGAATAAGTGTTCTTTCTTCACAACTTCTGTAACTTTTTTGAGTTTTGTTGTGTCTACTGATGGTGTTCATGCAGATCAATCCAAAATTGAGGCAGCTTTGAATTAGCCCAAGCCAAAAACTTTGCACGATATCAGGAGTTTCCATAAATTGGCATCTTTCTATCGTCGGTTCATCAGAAACTTCAGTACCTTGATTGCTCCTATCACAAAGTGCCTTAAAGGGCATGATTTTCAGTGGATTGAGGAGGCAGAGGCTAGCTTTCAGTTGGTTAAGCAGAAGATGATGGAGGCCCCAGTCTCAGTACTTCCGGACTTTGAGAAGGTGTTTGAGGTAAACTGTGATGCATCTGGAGTTGGTATTGGTGGTGTTCTGAATCAGGAGGGATGTCCAGTAGCCTTTTTCAGTGAGAAGCTATCGGGATTAAAGAAAAATTATTCCACTTATGACTTGGAGTTCTATGCCATAGTTCAGACTCTGAAGCATTGGCGCGATTACCTGGTACAGAGGGAGTTTATCCTTGTTACTGATCATGAGGCCTTGAAGTACATCAATGGTCAGCACAAGCTGAGTAGGCAACATGCAAAGTGGGTGGCGTACTCGCAGGAGTTTACTTTCACTCCAAGGCATCAAGCAGGAAGTTTGAATCGAGTAGCAGATGCATTGAGGCGTTGCACATTATTCCTCACCACCATGAGCACCAAGATTGTCGGATTTGAGGCATTTTCTTATATGTATGCTGCAGATCCTTCATTTGGGAAGATAATTCGGGTTGTAACTGATAATCATTGACATGATTTTGTTTTAATAATGGTTACCTATTTCGTGGATTGCAGTTATGCATTTCGGATTGTTCACTAAGGCAGCAGATTATTAGTGAGCTTCATAACGAAGGACATTCTGGGCGAGACAAGACATTGGCATTGGTCTCTTCTGATTATTACTGGCCCAAGTTGAGCAGTGATGTGGCACATTATGTGGAGTAGTGTTATGTATGTCAGCGGTCTAAAGGAGCTCTTACTAATGCTGGATTGTACATACCATTACCCGTACCTGAAGTTTCTTGGTTTGACGTCAGCATGGATTTTGTCCTGGGCTTACCTCGTACACAGTGGGCGATGGATTCCATTCTTGTTATAGTTGACAGATTTTCAAAGATGGCTCATTTTGTGGCTCGTCGGAAGACAATGGATGCTATTCGGATTGCTCATCTTTATTTCAGAGAGATTGTGCGTTTACATGGTGTTCCACAGTCAATTACTTCTGACCGTGACACTAAGTTTATGAGTCATTTCTGGAGGAGTTTGTGGGAGAAACTTGGAATGAAGTTGAATTTTAGCAGTGCATACCATCCCCAAACAGATGGTCAGATTGAGGTGGTGAATCGGAGTTTGGAAAATCTTTTGAGAAGCTTGGTAGGGACTAAACCGAAGCAATGGGATTTGGCATTACCTCAAGCAGAGTTTGCTTATAACCGGTCGAGGAATAGAACCATCAGACTAAATTCGTTTGAAATTGTCTATGGTTGGAACCCATCCGGAGTACTTGATTTGGCTCCAATTTCACGTGTAGGTCTGTAGTAGCCGAGAAAAAATAAAATGAAATTATGCTATTATTTTGTGATGATCTAGCACCATGAGCCTAACCTATTTTAGAAACGACCTATGGAAGCTCAACCCATGTAAGATTACGAAAGCCCAAGTCATAAGTTAATTAAAAGCCTAACAATTTAAGAGATTAAGTTTAAGTAAAATTGATTACAAAGATTTAATGAATAACTAGGTTGCCACAATGGTCATCTATATGGAATTTCATATAGGCAACCCAGGTTCGAATCACCATGTAGATGTTTTTTATAAAACTTTCATATGAATTATTTTTATGGCTTAGAGGCTCTTCAAATTATTAGTTAAAGACTAAATTTAATAAATTTAATGATAATACAACCCCCACTTAATTGTTCATTAAAAAGAAAAGTTATAGAAGTGGAAGGTCACTTTTTCACTACACTCCTCTTCAAATTCGAATTACATCTCATTTTCTCTCAAAAAAAATATATTTCATATCAAGTTAAACTTAAGAAATAACAAGGGTGAGAAGAGGAAGGCTTTCTATACATTTTGTTCTTTTATCCAAGAAAATTCAAGGTAGGTAGACGTGCAAGTGTTCATTCATTTTCAAATATGATTTTTCGATAAATGTTTAAATGAAATGGTACCTTTGGGTAGGGGTGGGCGTGGGTTGGGTTGAGTCAGTTTTCGCCCCAACCCTAACCCAACCCAACATGATCGGTTTGGTCGAAATTTAACCCAACCCAACCCATGTAAAATTTGAAACCCAACCCAACCCAACCCAACCCAAGCAAGTATCGGTTGGGTTGGGTTGGGTTGGTCGGTTTAGGACAACTTGTTAATAAAGAATAAAGTTATTCATTTTTGGGTGTAAAGCATCACTAATATAGTCCCAGAGCCTCAAAATTTACAAAACTAATTACCACAGCATAGATAAAATTCAACTGAGACACTAAAGAGCAGAAATCACAACCAATTTAGAAGTTAGTTTCTCACAAAATTCTCTAATAGTGGGACGGGATTTGAACTTATAAGGTAAAAAAATTTCATCAATACAACATGCTCCAAATCATTAAATAGTGTCAGCAAAGAAGAAATAGCAAAGATGTAGTCAAAGAAGAGATCACCTGAGAGATGAGTCTGTTCAGATTAGTATATGTTGGCCTCTCAATGTCAAGTGACTTGCAACAAATATCATAGATCGCTTCATTGTCAAGAAGCACGACAACATCAGTGTGCTCCAACAAAGAGTGGGTCAAGAGAACAGAGTTGTATGGCTCAACCACAGCAGTCGACACTTGCGAGGATGGGTAAATAGTGAACCCCAACTTTGATTTCTTACCATTCAACAGAAAGCCTCTCAAGCAAAAAAGATTCAAGTCCAGATCCAATGCCCCCACCGACAGCATGGAACACCATGAACCCTTACAATCCAGTACAATTATTCGCAAGCTTTCGGGGCTTGAGTGAGAGCGAAAGCGAGAGGGAGGGGGACGGAATCGAGAGATTTTAGGGCTTCTTTTGGATTTGGGAGTGACTGAGTGATTAGCCATTTACGATTTTTTTTAAGTTCGGGTTGGGTTGGTTTTTATAGGTTAACCCACAACCCGACCCGACCCGACCCACTTACGTAGCCAAAAAATCGAACCCACTTAAAAACAACAAAAAAATTGACCCAACCCGGTCGGGTTGGGTTGGGTGGGGCGGTTTGGACGGGTTGGGTCGGTTTTTGCCCACCCCTACCTTTGGGTATGGTGCTTCGGCACTACAACAGTTTGAATGATCATTCTCCGGCTCTACGTATTATGATAATGCTATAATAATTGGATTTTGCTGAAAATCCATCTACGTGCGACGGTATGAATCTATAGTTCGAGATTTCTAATTTGATAACGAATTGCACCGATGATATCTATTGAGTTTCAAACTCATGGGTTAATTCCATTCCTACAGGTTGAATGAATTTTCCTTGGGGCGTAGATGATGGTAAATGATGATGCAACATGTCATGGAGAAACCGGTGATTTACATCTTTAGTTGATTTTGAGATGTTTACACTTTCTTTAAATTTGATTCCTATGAATATTGTGTGGATCAATTTTACAAACACTCGTTATGAATAAATTATGTTTGAAAGTAGATATGCGTCATAGGAATAAATTTACAAATCACCGTATACAAAAAAAGTTAGCGACTTAAAATTTTGATGTCTCTTCAAAAATTTCAGTTTCTGCCTCATCTTTAAAAAAATCATAACTCTTTCGTTACTTAGTATTTTTATACGAAACTAATTAGATTGGATAGCCTAATAAGTTAGATACTGAATAAAATTGTAATCATGTTAATCCAATATCGGTAAAAGGGTTATATGTCACATAGAGTAAACTGTGCTGGGTGCTGTCTCTGTTTTTCAGCTTCTACCCTTGTTTTTCAAAAATTCATAACTCACTCATTACTTGGAATTTTTGGATGAAACCAATTGGATTTGATATTCTCATGGATTAGCTACTGAATAAATTTGAAATCATGTGGTTTTGATGTCGGTGGAATTTTAACTGCACCGATTTACCTTTCAACCGAGTCGCTGCTGAGTTTTGAAAAATATTTTAATACCCCATATGACGTCGACGGAAGCTAATTTTTGACTATGTCATATTATAAGGAGTTTACTACCTTACATTAAAATTTGATGAAGTTTGAAGGTCGATAGCTATAAAAAAAAATTTATTTTGACAATTACTGTTTGAGACAAAAAAAAAACTGGAACAACAACATTACTTTTTAAGTTTTGCCAAAATTTCACGTCAATAGTCGTTATATGCATGGAACCCATTCTAAAAACATTTTTTTTGAAATTGTTTTCTTTTAGAATTGAACTATTGTTTAAAAAAAAAAAAGAATTAAAGAAAATTCTTTAATTAAATTTTAAAATTTAATCTTTATACCTTCTACTAAAAATATATTGAACTAATTTTACGGCTAAGGTACAATGGTTGAGTGATGTTTCCGTCTATGCGGGTCGGGGCGTTACAGGGTCGCTTCAATAACAAAGCTGATGAGATGGCTGAACATCTTCGGGGTATCCATGAGCAGGTGAAGCTGTCCATACATGATAGTAATACTAAGTACGTGATAGTCATCGGTGCCAGGTGTTGTTTGATGTTGGTGATTTTGTTTGGGCAGTATTAACTGGTGATCGTTTTCCAGCTGGGGAGTACAATAAGATAAAGAAGCGGAAGATTGGGCCTTATGAAGTGCTGCAAAAGATCAATGATAATGCTTACATGTTGCGCCTCCCTAGCCATTTGAAGACCTCTGATGTCTTCAATGTGAAACAACTAAGCCCTTATTTTGTGGAGTCCGATGAAGTTACTGTGAACTCAAGGGCGAGTTCTTTCCATCCCGGGGCGACTGATGCAGGAGAATCCAAGGCGAGTGATGCTCATTTGTCAGATAGCACGATGATGGCGTTGAGATACTATGAGATGGCGGATCGGCGCAAAGATGGAAAGTGAATCGCAATTATTTCCTTGATTGGGGGAATTTGACACATCTTTGGTAATTTGGTCATAACTTTAGCTACGGTTATTGGAATCGCTATTATGACCCCAATCTGGAAAGCTCTCTTCGACGCGCACGTCGTGGCCACTCAGCTATACTCAGTGGACGTCAATTTCAAGCCCAAAATCTGTTTTTCTTTTCAAAATTTAATTTTAAGTTATTTTTTGTTATTTATGGTAATATTTCGTTTCCCTTTTTTCATATGTTAGAAAACTCGAATTGAGCCAAATTTTTGGCAACATACTTTTTTACTTAATATTTTATTCTGGTATAATTTCGGAATTTTGCCATTTTTGATAATTTTCCCATAATTTCGTATTTCGCAGCTATTTAACCCGGTTTGTGAGTTAATTTTGTTCATTCTGCATTATTAATAATATTGAGTTGATTTCAGAGTATTTTCTCCGGTTTTTTTGGGTGTTCTCTGTCATTCCTTTCTTGCGAATCATCTGCTACAACAAGTCAATAGGATAATCACTATTTTACCCCGCGTCAATTACGTGACATTTTGCTTTGAGGCTTCCTAAAATGGAATTCAAGTCAATATGCTGACACCTTTCTCGGCTGCAAAACTTTTGCTTCCTTCTGCGGTAAGAATTTAATCTGAAGATAAGTTTTCATACCTTTCTCCACCTAAGTTTAAGAAAGGGGATTCGTATATATCAGTTGCAGCAGAAATGTTTTCAGGGACGATTTCAGCATTGGGGAATGAAGCTTAATTTGTGCCGTGACTTCCTGCATCAGTACCAGGTACCATGGAGGGATTCGAGACTGCAACAGCCTCTTAGGACAATGACGTTTCGACAGGTGCGGGATTCTTCATTTCTGCTGAAGCAGCTTCCATCTGGACTTAA